GTCCAATCTGGTATTTTTCAGATGTATTGTTCCAATACGTCCAATCTGGTATTTTTCAGATGTATTGTTCCAATACGTCCAATCTGGTATTTTTCAGATATATTGTTCCAATACGTCCAGTCTGGTATTTTTCAGATACATTGTTCCAATACGTCGAATCTGGTATTTTTCAGATGTATTGTTCCAATACGTCCAATCTGGTATTTTTCAGATATATTGTTCCAATACGTCCAATCTGGTATTTTTCAGATACATTGTTCCAATACGTCCAATCGGGTATTTTTCAGATACATTGTTCCAATACGTCCAATCAGGTATTTATTCAGATATATTGTTCCAATACGTCCAATCTGGTATTTTTCAGATATATTGTTCCAATACGTCCAATCTGGTATTTTTCAGATGTATTGTTCCAATACATCCAATCTGGTATTTTTCAGATATCCATAATTCTTCTTTCCAAGATAGCGTGAAATATTGACACATCTAAACTGTTTTGATTCAGCTTATTTTTAACTCGTTACAGTAGTTAGATAACGGGATGGCTACTAGCTGGTAAGAATGATCAGTCATTTTCTAAACAAAAAACGAATTATTCGACCAATGAACGGAATCATCTCAACTGAATATACAGAAAGGACTCTCGAATGAAACCAGAATGTTTCCCAAACTGTGTGTGTGTTTTCTTATAGCAAAGCCACATCGAGCTATCTGCTATGTCCACCGAGGGGAATCGAACCCCTGATTCTAGCGTTGTAAACCCAAAGACTTACCGCTGTCCGTCCCACCGGGAGACTTTCCAAACTGAACAATTAAACGAACTGGTAAAAAAATAAGGGCTACATAAGGCCTGCTTCTTTCTCATCCCTCGAAGTACCCAAATACAAAGTTAACACGATCTGTTGCCACATTAAAAAAATGTCAGCCAGGAAAATGATTGGCGTCTGCACTACACGTAGAAACACTTAAGGAACGAGTTACAGACCATACAACCACGTTGTCGTGTGTATGTGTATACACCAATAAAAACGCACTGGCAAACATCAAAGACAGCTTACAATCTACGTCTAACTGAGAGAGAGAGAGCTGTGAGTAGTACAAACACACGAACATAGATCGCCTAGAGTTGAGAGTAAACGGCTATAGATATTTCTGAAGAACGACGTTATATGATATAGATGTTTATATATAACTTACTTGTTATTTTCTAGACAAAATATAGGATTGCTCATCTAAGTAACCTCATAAAAATAAATACCCTCTTCTTCAAAGTGCTGATCGTTCTTGGCACTCTCTAAAAGTTATAGCTCAAGTTTGTCTCGTTCTAGCCGCCAATTATCTGTAAAATCGCAGAATTTTGTTTTTGAATCATAAAGATGAACTACTTGCTAGGTGTTACGACGTATTTAACTGCGGCCTCAAACGATAAGTTGTTATAGGTTAAGTGGTGTGTGTGTGTGTGTGTGTTTGATCTTAATGCTGAAGGTAAGTAAATGTCGGTTATTATTGGTGGCACTGTTCGTGTCTTGCTGAAAGGTTTTCAGTTACAGATATAGACGATAAGGGGGAACGCACAGACTTGCATCCAATGATTAAGCGTTAGCTACTAGGGGTAATGAAGAGATAAGAAACCTTATAGAGGTCACCCGTGTTCAAGTGTTTGTGTGGTCACTCCTCCGCGCAAGAAGATGATATTATATTTTACTTCAGTTGGTTCTCGAATTACTTGATAATTACGTTCAGTTCCTTTCACCCTTCTTAACCACTCAATGGTCGTTCCTAAATGTAAATATCAAAGCGGTAACAAAGTTGCTAGCCTTCGTTTTACAGTCCAGAGGGGGGTGGCCAATTAACCTCCCCAGGACCTAGAGAACTGTGGTGCGTAAACGCTGGTCACTTATTTGTACAACAAGAGATTTGATATCTTCTGCGCTTTTGACCTTGCGTGGAATGCCTTGTTCGACAAACAGAGAGGACCGATTATACTGATTGCCCACGAACACCGAATTCTGTCTTGGCCTGGACCGCTGCGTCGAATATCCGGGCATGGAACTCATCCACGGAAGTTCTCGCTCGAAGAAGGACGAAGTAAGCGTCTCTGGCATGTTCATCCGTGGAGGTTTGGGGATGGTGGAGTTGTAGGGTGGGCTTCTGTATTCTGGTTGGTAGGGCTCTAGCATTCGTATCTTACCCCACTTGTTGAAAAACAGGAGAATGACAGCCACCCAAACCACAAGGACCAGAACGACAATTACTATTTCTTCTTCGTGGACCTCAAAACTCCCGTTATACGCTGCTTTCGACTGATCTTCCGTTTCGGGGACTTCCGGTTTACTCTCATTTCCTGCGAAAAAAGGAAATGCAAGATAAGAAACAAGGAACAAGCTAATTTTTTTTTCTAAACTAGTTATGTACAAAAAATGTTGCTTGTGAGACTACATCTTTATTGATCACAGATCCTCAATAACATATGATTCACATAAAACATTTCAGACATGCAAACAAATTTTTCGTGTACAACAATATTTTTCTCGGACGAAACGTAAACGTCCGTCATTTTGTTCCTGCCGACCCCATTGACCTGAAATTTGTATCACAAAATTATATGTATTTCAACGGTACGTTACTAAAATACTAACGCTGATACTGACCGTTTGTCACAGGTTTGAATTTGAATTTCGCGCAAAGCTACACGAGGGCTATCTACACTAGCTGTCCATAATTTAGCAGTGAAAGACTAGAGGGAAGGCAGCTAGTCATCACCACCCACCGCCAACTCTTGAGCTATTCTTTTATCAACGAATAGTGGGATTGACCGTCACATTATAACACCCCCACGGCTGAATGGGCAAGTTTGGTAGAACGGGGATTCGAACCCGCGACCCTCAGATTGCGAGTTGAGCTCCCTAATCACCTGGCCATAACAAATCGGAAACTAGTGGATACTTGTCAGGAAAATGAATATATATATATAGAAGTAGGTAATAGTTACGAAACAGTGACGATAAATAACAACAAAGATCTTTCATTGGACACTTGATGTTTCGCGACATATAATTCTTTCAACAATAAACTTTACTACTTAATATGTCAAACGTACACTGTATAAATGAACGCTCTAGATTCAATTAGAAATTTATTATTTAAGTCATTTGAGGTTTTGTACTGTCAGTTACGGTTTTATCAAATTAAATAAAAATAACAAACTTGGTGTTGTTTATTTCAAATAAAAAACAATTAACATGTGATTTATAAAACTGGTAATCATATTGCGTTTAGGTTTCTGTTTAAACTGATTATTTAAAACACAACAACAATGCTTTCATTGACATTAAATAATAAAGACACGTCATGGATCAAAAACGACAATGTATTCAGGTTCTTTTTTTTTAGCCGAAACACTGTAGCTTTATTCAACAAAGATGGGGGTGGTCAATTAGTGAGGGCGAGAATTAATTCCGTTGATTAAGATATCTTGACGGGGTTGGAGGTGTTGAAAGTTAGTCACCAGCTGAAAATGACACGATGATCGTCAGTGAATATATACAGCTTCTGCTGAGCCACTCCGTAAGCACGTGCTAGATTACAGTTTGTAGGCTTAAAGCCTGGTTACGTAATGCAAGTTTTTGAGTAAAGTCACTTAATGAACAGCACACTCTTGTGGTAGTCTCATAAGTTACAGAATCCGAAACTTTGCGGGGGTGAGGGTAAGTAAGCAGAACCCCCACCTTTCTCTAAATTAGGAAGCTCATACGAGAGTGATGATATCAGGCGAACTATGAATCCCTACAGTGTCCATAGTTGTTGTTCTTTAGGCTTAGAGTCAAACCACTGTAAGTGAAATATTGTCAAAATCATAAATAATATTCAACGTTAAACTGGTACACAATTAAAAACATCTTACTTAGGCCTATCTAAGGCCTTCAAAAAGTTGACCACTCTACATGTTTCGACGTTACAACGTCATTCTTTGTAACGTCGAAACATGTAGAGTCGTCAACTTTTGAAGGCCCATAGATAGGCTTAAATAAAATGTTTTTAATTGTGTACCAGTTTAACGTTGAATATTGTTTATGATTTTAACTTTATACACAAGTGCCAAAATACTATAATTAAATGAAATATAGTCCTTGAAATAAACGAACACGTCGTATTAAAACACCATCATGGACTAAACACATATATATTTCCTTTTCATTAATTGGAATTACTCTGGCTCAGTTATTTTCATTAATTGGAATTACTCTGGTTCAGTTATTTTCATTAATTGGAATTACTCTGGTTCAGTTATTTTCATTAATTTGAATTACTCAGGTTCAGTTATTTTCATTAATTGGAATTACTTTGGTTCAGTAAGCTTCTTGCTTGTTTTCAGGCCACTGTGTTTTTACAAAAATTGAGTCTCAGTTTTCAGAAAATATCTCGACTTTACAGAATGGGAGGGGGAGTCACTCTTAACATCTGTATCGTTACAAAAAAATATAAATTACTCTCAAAATCGTCAAACGAATATACTAATTGGAATTACTCTGGTTCAGTTATTTTCATTAATTGGAATTACTCTGGTTCAGTTAAATTTGAATTACTCTGGTTCAGTTATTTTCATTAATTGGAATTACTCTGGTTCAGTTATTTTCATTAATAAGCTATGAAGATAAAGCTAATCTACAGAGTTTAGAAACAGAATAAGCTATGAAGATAAAACTAATCTACAGAGCTTAGAAACAGAATAAGTTATGAAGATAAAACTAATCTACAGAGCTTAGAGACAGGATAAGCTATGAAGATAAAGCTAATCTACAGAGTTTAGAAACAGAATAAGCTACAAAAATAAATTTAATCTACAGAGCTTAGAGACAGAATAAGCTATGAAGATAAAGCTAATCGTGTATGTAGTAAACGTCACATTTACTTGCATAGAATCAGTTATTCTATTGGAAGATATAACCAAAGTCACACTACTGGCATGGGATCAGTTCCTCTATTGGAGGATATAACCAACGTCACACTTACTGGCATGGGATCAGTTCCTCTATTGGAGGATATAACCAACGTCACACTTACTGGCATGGGATCAGTTCCTCTATTGGAGGATATAACCAACGTCACACTTACTGGCATGAGATCAGTTCCTCTATTGGAGGATATAACCAACGTCACACTTACTGGCATGGGAAAGGGTATTCTATTGGATGTTTGTTACAAAACAAAGAAGTCGCGGTCTGTACTAGGAAATTTCATTGGGGGTATAATTCTTGTATTTAAAAAAAAATGTCCTGTCTCTAAACTCTGTAGATTAGCTTTATCTTCATAGCTTATCCTGTCTCTAAGCTCTGTAGATTAGCTTTATCTTCGTAGCTTATTTTGTCTCTAAGCTCTGTAGATTAGTTTTATCTACCTAGCTTATTCTGTCTCTAGGCTCTGTAGATTAGCTTTATCTTCATAGCTTATCCTGTCTCTAAACTCTGTAGATTAGTTTTATCTTCATAGCTTATCCTGTCTCTAAACTCTGTAGATTAGCTTTATCTTCTTAGCTTATTCTGTCTCTAAACTCTGTAGATTAGCTTTATCTTCATAGCTTATCCTGTCTCTAAACTCTGTAGATTAGCTTTATCTTCGTAGCTTATCCTGTCTCTAAGCTCTGTAAATTAGCTTTATCTTCGTAGCTTATTTTGTGTCTAAGCTCCGTAGATTAGCTTTATCTTTGTAGCTTATCCCGTATCCAAACTTCATGAATTAACTTTCTGAATAAAAATTTTGCCATAAAATCGACGTGATTTAATTTTTTGAGTTTCACTACAGAGATGAGGTAACGAATACTGTTAAAACCCGCAAATCATACTGCAGTAAAATGTGACGTAACATTGATTGAATGAAGTATAAGAAATAGACGACGTTTCCTGGCTCGTGAATCAAGTTAGTTTCTTATTCTGTTGTGTGTAAGGGCTAGCAGTCACTACTAGGCATTGTACTCGCTTCCTGCTGTTCACGAGAAAGCCTCAAGAACAAATTATTATCGATCTTAATGTCACAGCGGGACGAGTTTGTAACAATAACTTATATGCATTCGGATAATCCACTTATGCGTGTAGGTTCTGAAAATACCAAGAACATGGCATTAGTAAGAAATTGTACTTATATAAATCTTCCGCTAAGAGGATAAATATGAAAGAAATTAATTACGCAGGAAACGACACAAAAAATGCACTCTTCCAAACATAGTGTATAATTTTAAATCGATAGAAATTAATGACATATTTACGTTTCGGTCCAAGGAACCGTAACTTAATGTGTTTGGAATTGAGTGTAAAGTATCAAAACTTTTATTGTACTTCTTTCTATAGTTTTTTGGAAAAAGGTTAAGTTGAAACAGGTAATGATGTGTAGTAACAGGACCTTCAACGACTTTTGGGAAAAGGTTAAGTTGAAACAGGTAATGATGTGCAGTAACATTCAGTAACAGGTAATGATGTGCAGTAACATTCAGTAACAGGTAATGCTGTGCAGTAACATTCAGTAACAGGTAATGATGTGCAGTAACAGGACCTTCAACGAGTTTTGGGAAAAGGTTAAGTTGAAACAGGTAATAATGTGCAGTAACAGGACCTTCAACGAGTTTTGGGAAAAAGGTTAAGTTGAAACAGGTAATGATGTGCAGTAACAGGACCTTCAACGAGTTTTGGGAAAAGGTTAAGTTGAAACAGGTAATGATGTGCAGTAACAAACAAACTCTTATTATAACAACATTTAAAAATAATAAAGTATTCACTCACAAATATAAATTAATCACTAATATTTAAACCAAACAGTCTTTTATATCATGGCATACATGTAATATTAAAGTTATTTAATCAACTCTATGTGTAGGACTGAATTATTGTATTATTATCATAGATTAGTAATGATGCTCTGTTGATTTTTAGTTACCTGGCAAATGAAGGGTCTTTGATGTTGTCCCTAAAAAAAAGGGGTTCTCGAACTCAAAAGGTATGAGAAATCTGCTCTAAGGATTAATAATTAAATCTCAATATTGAGATTTTGAGAAGAAAGATTTCAATTTTGATTAGAAAAACAATTAATAACGTTACAAAACTAAAGAAACTCATACAGAGCTTTCAATGTTTTAGGCCGGGTGTGGCCTAGTGGTTAAAGGTTCCCGGAATATGAAACCGAAGATTTATTACTCACTCCCCCCTTACTACAAAAACACGCTCCACACTTTGGGGCTTTGGGTACTTTATACAAGTGACTTTCAAATCCCACTATTCAGTCAGACAAAGATAGCCCAAAAGTTGGCGGATGGTGATGTTGAGTAGTTGCCTTCCCTCTGGCCAATGACTTCCT